GTGTTTCTGTGGGAGTGTCCTCACCCTAATTATCATCAAGGATTATGATAGGCAAAACACAGAATCAGAATATGGTGGTGTTTAAGTAGAACCAAAATAAATAAAAGTTAATTATAGCCCAGGAGACTATTATTAATGATAAACAGGAGAACATGAGTCTGGCGGAGCACTCCAATAAAACCACGTTGCTCCCAAAGAACAGCTTGTCTCCTTTTTATGGTGATGATTTCTACTTTCAATTTGCTTATGACAGTATTATGTGAAATACTAATCGTGTTCCAAGATAACCAATCACATTACACCAACTTTTTTGCGTAGGAAGAGCTCCTATGTTTAGGTGCTGTTTATTCTGATATTCTAATGCCTGAGAGCAGGGTCAGCAAACGACAGCCCTCACCTGGTTTTTTAAGATAGGTTGTTTTGGAATACAGCAGTCTTAAGTTCATTCAGGCTACTCTAACAAAATACCATAAACGGAGTGGCTTATAAACAACAGAAATGTATTTCTTACAGTTCTGGAGGCTGGAAAGTTCAAGATCAAGGTAGTCTGATGTCTGGCGAGGGCCCACTTTCTGGCTCACAGGTGGTGCTTTCTTACTGTGTCCTCACGTGGTTGAAGGGCAAGAGCCTCTCAGACTTCTATAAAGGCGCTGATTCTATTCGTGAAGGCTTCACCTTCACGACCCAATAAGCTCCCCAAATTCCCATGTCCTAATACCATTGCCTTGGGGTTAGGATTTCAACACATGAATTTTGTGGGGACACAAACATTCAGACCATAGCAACAGCCATGCCTATTCATATATGTATTGTCTATAGGTGCTTTCACACTACAACAGCAGACTTGAGTATTTGTGACTGAGACCTTATGGTCTGTAAAGGCTAAAATATCTACTGTCTGGCCCTTTAAGAAATTGCCAAGCCAGTCATAGACCAGCACACTATCTCGCTGAACTTCCTTCAGTGATGGATGTGTTCTGCTTTTGTGCCATCCCATGTTAACCACTGGTCACATACACTAATAGTTATTTGAGCACTTGGAATGTGGTTAGCACAACTGAAAAACTAGATTTCAAATTTTATTTCATTGTAATTAATTCATATTTCAATGCTAAACAGCCACATGTGGCTAGGGGCCAGAGCATTGAATAGCACAACCTCAGAGGTACCAGCATTAAGTGGAAGAACCTTCAGCTCTGTGACTCACAAATTTTCTCACTCATTCCGGAAACCTTTGTTGAGGCCCAAGTATGTGTCAGCACTGGTCAGTTCTTACTGTGTGTATGTACATGTGCACACATGAGTGGTAAAATAACATAACAAAATTTACCATTTTAGCCGTTAAGTGTTTAGTTCAGTGGCGTTAAGTACATTCACATTGTTGTGTGGACATCACCATGTGTTGAGTTCTTGACATTCATAGTCTATGCCCTGAATGGGGCTCACCATGTAGTGAGGAAATCCTGACACAACGTGGCAAGCACAGTGATGAAGGCGCCACCACAGAGACCCAATCTTAAGGGAAGAAGGAATGTTCAGCATTTTGACAGTAGGAATCGATGCCATAGAAAGTACTTGTAGCCTCGGTCTGAAAGTAAGCTATGAAGGGAATAGGTTGAGATGCCTTAAAGAGTTTAACAGATTCTAGCATCTGGACTCCTCTCTAGCTACATCCTCGTAAGGCCTCTGAAAGCAGGATTTATTTAATCTTTAGATATTCTGTAATAGTTTTATCAGGTGGTTGGAAAAAGTGAATGCATTTCCAAAGTTGGACAATTTACTTCTCACTTATATTTAGGTTCCAGTTCAAAATATATATAAATAAATACATTAATATATTTCCAATCTCTGGAGCAGACATTCAGAATAAGTAATATGCACAATTATGGTAATGAGCTGACTGAGAACATGCCCCACACAGGTATGCTTTTTAAGTTCCTATTGCTATCACAGAGTTGTATTTTATAAATTAATTTGATTCCAAGGCTATTTCAAAGACAATCAGTAGCTGCTTTTGAAATTGCCCACTCTCTGAGACTTTTTTCCTGGGTTCCACTTCTGTCTTCATCCTGTTTAGGTTTCCCAAAAATTTCAAAACATCTTCATGGAGCAACAGAGAATGCAAATATTTCCAGACTATGAAGCTGCAATGGCTAAAGCAGATAATTTGGGTTTGGCAGGACCCAGTATGACCCTGAAAAGGAGAGCCAACTGGATTTCCTTCATAAAGGTAAAGAGACTCGTGGTGATAGTCATCTGTCAGTGATGTCAGCAGTGTCACAGTGTCGTCTAAGCAGGTCAGGCAGCCTGGCAGCAGCAGGTTTATGTGGTCCCTGTTGTCCCTCTCCTTAGTGCCCTCAGCAGACCGTCCTCTTCAACTAGGGGAGATGCTTTCCTGTCCTCAGGGGAGGCAACTCCGAGAACCTGGCTTTGTGAGCCACAGTCTCCCAGCTCTTTGCCTGCCTTGGCTCTATGTTGAAGTTCGCTATGCCAATCTTCCTTCTCTGAAGGTTCTCCAGATGCCTGTACCCCACTCTAATGGGCCCAAACTCCCTGCTTATTGCTAATGATCTCAGATACTTGGCAAGAACTAAGCTTAATATCCAAGGGTGTAATTGACTTGTGTAAATCCAACTGTTGAGTCAAAAACTATTTGATACATAGTGTATGTCAGGTATGGCCCTTTGTGCTGAAGATAACACAATTCACAAACAATATGCAAGTAAGCAAACTAAATAAGATTGTTTTAGGTGGTGCTAGGTATGATCAATTCTCATTATTCGAGGTAGTTTTGTTCTAGAAAGTCATCATGAACACTGAGTGAGCAAATATTGAATTGTCACCCCTAGGGGAAATAGGGTTCGTTCCTGTGAACCTCTTGTCTGAACACTTATCAATACATAACTATTTTACGTGTGTTTCTGTTGAAAGACATCTTATTTTAAATATATTGTTGATTTATTAGCATTGAACTAATGACTAACAGCACTATAAATTCATGCCCAAATGAACCTTATCTAACACATGTATTTTTTCCAAAAGGCACAGAACACAGTCTTCTTATGCTTAGGAACTTTAGACATTACTTTGGCACTACACATGGGGACCATTTTCAACAGTCAAATTACCACCAAAAAGCACAAAAATGTGAAGAATGTAGTTCTAAGGGACCATGAAAAGGATCCTTGTTTGTAATATGTGAGCAGAAACAAGAAGGCCAAGTGTTGCCTTGTTCAAACTTAGTTGGGAATATGCCCACTAGGTAACTCAAATTTTCACCTGCACACACCTATGAGTGACTGTGAAAGCTCTACTAGTATTGAGTTTTGGGTCACAAAAAAATGTTAGATAGCAGGCAAAAGCACAAATGTGGAATCCACAAACAACAAGGATTGCTTGTATTATGAAAAAAAGGAAAATCTTGTATGATTATTTTAGTCTATTCAGGCTGCTTTACCAAAATACCATAAACTGGGTAGCTTATAAAGAACAGAGATACATTTCTCACAGTTCTAGAGGCTGGGAAGTCCAAGATTAGGGGGCCAGCATGGTCAAGTTCTGAAGGGTCCTATTCCAGGTTGCAGACTTCTGACTTCTCCCTGTGTCCTCACATGGTGGAAGAAAAAAACCAAGCTCGTCCAGGTGTGGTGGCTCATGCCTAAAATCCCAGCACTTTGGGAGGCCAACGTGGGCGGATCACGAGGTCAGGAGATTGAGACCATCCTGGTCAACGTGGTGAAACCCTGTCTCTACTAACATACAAAAATTAGCCGGGCGTGGTGGCACATGCCTGTAGTCCCAGCTACTTGGGAGGCTGAGGCAGGGGAATCGCTTGAATCTGGGAGGCGGAGGTTGCAGGGAGCAGAGATCGCACCACTGCACTCCAGCCTGGCAAAAAAGTGAGACTTCATCTCAAAAAAAGAAAAGAAAGAAAGAAAAAAATCAAGGTCTCTCAGGCCTCTTTTGTAAGGGCATGAATACTATTCATGAGAGCTCTACCATCATGATCTCATCACATCCCCAAATTTTATCACTAATGCCATCACCTTGGGGTTAGGTTTCAACATTTAAATTTTAGAGGAACACATTCAGACCATAGCAGTGAATAAAGATAGACTGAGACAAATCAAAGATCACTCCTAGGTCCATCTAGTGCTTGAGGAACACGGTAGTCCATGTAAGGGAAGCCTGACTTTCTGTTTTAGATTGTTGCACTTGACATTCAAGTATAGATATGAAAGGAGTAGTTGGATATAATAGGCTGGAATTTAGGGCTGAGATATAAATTTGAGTGTTAATGGTATTTACAGCAACAGAACTGATTTTTGAAATCCAGTTTATTAATATAAAATATTTTTTTGAGATGGATTCTTGCTTTGTTACCCAGGCTGGAGTGCAGTGGCACAATCTCAGCTCACTGCAACCTCTGCCTACCAGGCTCAAGTGATTCTCCTGCCTCAGCCTTCCAAGTAGCTGGCACTACAGGTGTGGGCCACCACCCCCAGCTAATTTTTGTATTTTTTTTTAGTAGAGACAGAGCTTCACCATGTTGGCCAGGATGGTCTCCATCTCCTGACCTTGTGATGTGCCCACCTCAGCCTCCCAAAGTGTTGGGATTACAGGCGTCAGCCACCGCTCCCGGCCATGAAAGCTGTTTTAAATGTAGTGTCACAAGGAGTCTGTGGGTGAACTTCTCTTGCCCTGTAAATAAAGTGCAATGACCAACTCTGATGGTTTTGGGGTCCCTGCTGCTTGTGGTTGGTATAGTGTCGTTCCAGACGCATTTCATAGGCAAGGCATTAACAGGAACTGGTGCTTCTGTCTCCTTCAGTGAATTTGTGAACCCATGAAGACCCTTTCCAAAACCTCACTAGTCCTAGCCAATCTAGCAACCGTGGCCAGATATCATTTCAGAAGGTCCTTGAATCTCTTTGCTTGCAACTTTTATTGAGAATCATTCTGTTATGTTGTAACTTTATGTGAACATGTTTGTCCCCTAGATCAAGCCAAAATATGATCCGTGGCAAAAGAAGCTTTTGACTAAATTAAAAGAATGGAGAAGAACAGATGTGTTATTGTAACTCCAGGAAGTTTTTCAAGGTGAGAAAATAACCAAGTTTCCATGTAGATAAGATTTTTGCTAAAATCATTCTCAAAATATGGAATTTTTCTTTCCCTTTTTAAAAATGTTATCTTGGATTCACTGTGATTGTTTTATTTGAAACTTTCTTTCCTTCCTTCCTCCTTTCCTTCCTTCCTTCCTCCCTTCTTTCCTTCCTTCCTTCCTTCCTTCTTTCCTTCCTTCCTTCCCTCCCTCCCTCCCTC